ATGACTTAGATTTTCAGGAATATTGCAAGTTGTTCATTAAACACAGTGATCATTGAACATTGAAGTATATATATTTACAGAGTATTAATTTAAAATACATTAAAAACAAAGGTAATTGATACTCAAAAACTCATCACTTTCTAATTATTCTAATTATTTTGTTATCATGCCCTTAGGGAAATAGAGAGGCAGGAGTGTGTCTGAGCAACTCCACTCTAGGGGCTGCCATTTTGGTATCTTGGAACTGGACATGTTGGGAATATATGCCTTGGAAATTGTTGAATGCTACAAATTAGGGCCGAATTTACTCTTTGACTCACAGACTTGAGAAAGTGATGGAGAAAATGTTAAAAACACAAATTAAATTACACCTAGGGGCGCCTGGGTGGCTCAGTGGGTTAAAGCCCCTGCCTTCAGCTCAGGTCATGGTCCCAGGATCCTGGGATCAAGCCCCGCAAGGGCTCTCTGCTCAGCGGGGAGCCTGCTTCCTCCTCTCTCTCTCTCCGCCTGCCCCTCTGCCTACTTGTGATCTCTCTCTCTCTCTCTGTGTCAAATAAATAAATAAATAAATAAATAAATAAATAAAAACAAAAAAACCCCACAAATTAAACTTAAAAGTGGGCCTTCTCTGCGACTGTTACACCACGAATAGCACAAAAAACTGAACTATTTTTGGTTTTCACAAACTATCACCCAGTTCAGCGAAGAAGCTCATCACGTGCTCAACAAAGGAGCAAACTTCCAACATACGATTTCACTGTTTACCTTTCTTACTTTCTTACTTCTTAACATAATTGAAAATATCAACTAGCATTCATGCTGGACTCACGCTCAGCTGGTGGGGGGACATTAGCCAACATACCTCTGCCTCCCACCTCCCACTGAGCCTCAGCCTTGGCCCTTGCTCCATCCCTGGGGGTGGGGGTATCACAGAAAACCATAGGAGAGACAGTCCCCACCCTGAGTTCTCCACACCGTTCATCCTAAAGGAATGGCTCCTGCCAACTTGTGCCTGTGTAACGATTTTCCCCATGGGAAAATGAGGATGCAAGGGGCATGCCATGCCCACCATCAGCAGGGGGGGACCTCGAAGATCAGCTCAGGAAGGCTCATTAGATAGCTATTCTTCCCTTGCATACAATATCATGCTGCATTTGACGTTCGTAAATAGGACTCTAAGACAATACAAGATCTGGATAATCAAAGAATCGTGGAAGCCAATTCAACAGTTTTAATGAAAACACATTTTAGAAAGAGGCTTTGAGCAAGTGTTGGAACAAATAACAAACCCTTTCTACTTAAGTTCGAGCATTCTCTTAATTGAGATTTCTGTGAATTTGACTTCCTTGTTACACAATGCCAAGGACACATACTTTGCGGGGGGTGGGAGCGGCAAGAAAAGGATAGCAATAAAAAAGAAGAAATAAAACATAATGTGGCATTACTTATGTTTATTAGAAAATCACTCTCTTTATAGAGTGAATCTTCTAGTTAAAAGAAGACTATTCTTTAGGACACCCAGGTAGTTCAGTTAGTTAAGCCTCTGCCTTTGGCTCAGGTCATGATCCCTGAGTCCTGGGATCGAGTCCCACTCCTTGCTCAGTGGGGAGTCTTCTCCCACTGCCTGCCGCTCCCCCTGCTTGTAGTCTCTCTCTCTGACAAATAAATAAATAAAATCTGAAGAAAAAAAAAAAAAAAGACTGTTCTTTAAGAACTTAGCAGTAGCTGCTGGCTATTCCCAAATTTCCATGCCCCCTTTTTTCTTTATCAATGAGACTTACTGACTTTTAGCTGGCCACCTGATCCCCTAGTCCCCTAGCACTGCATTTCCCCATCTCCTTTGGCACTAAGTATGGCCAAAGGACTAGGTTGTGGCCAATGGACTAGTTTATGGCCAGTGAGATCCAATTGTAAGGGGTGTGTGCAGCTTTGAGGGTTGAGTCCTTAAAGGGGAAAGACAGGCCTCCACTACCTCTGTCCCCATTCTGCTGCCTAGACTAGCACCGTAGTGGGAAGTGGAAGTCTATTTTAGAGTATGAGGTAGAGACTTGGTGTTAAGAATAGCAGAACACTAATGATGTACTATATCCTGGCTAACTGAACATAATAATAAAAATAAATTTTAAAAATAAATTAAAAAAAAAAAAAAGAGTAGCAGAGCAACGGAAAGGGAGCCTGGGTCCCAAAACCATGGAGACATCATAACATCCTCAGATGAGCTTCTCAGAGTTTAACACAACAGGGGAGTTAGCTTCTACCTTCTTTAGGCCACTGTTGTTTGGCCTTTGTTACAGCAGCTGGCTTCTGTATTCTGAGTAATATAATTACCAACATGTTAGAACATGTTAACCATTTGTCTTTAGTATTTTAGGGATAATATTCTTTCTAAACATGTTACAATTTTCTGAGCTCATGAAACAGAGCAGACAGAACATAATTTACTCTTTTTTGGAAAGACTACATGGGAAAGCATAATTACTATTCTGAACAATAGTACAAAGAGATTGCCAAGGTCTAGGGGGCTGCTGGCCCATCAGTAAGTGGCCTCAGGCTGTGGGACTTGGTTCATTCATACCTAATTCCTGCCGTTTTTCTGACTCCCCTTGCTATCAGGAGTCAAATAAGAAAATATACACAATATTTTCGTCCAGATCCTCAAACACAGAAGTGGTCAATGAATGTTCTATGACTGTTATTGTTATTATCGTTGTTGTTGTTGTTGTTGCTAGTATTATTATTACAATTATGTAGAGGGAACAGACAGCTATTTTCAAAACTCAACCCTTTTTTCTTCCCGCTTCAATCATAATCCCAACCATAAAAGGCACAGGAGCTGGAAATCCCACTGTTCGGTGACATTATAATCAGCCGCATCTACAGAATGGAAGCTAGAGTTTCTCCTTGATGTAGACTCTCTCTCTCTCTTTATCTCTTTAAAACGAGCTTAATGGTCTTTTTAGTCATGAGATATAAGGAAAATCTATCTGTTGACCTTGGGTTGTCTATGAACTAAACCAATAGCAGAGGCTTCAAACTGAGATACAAATTCTGTTCCAGGTTGAAGAAGGCTATTTTCGTGGCAGTCAGCGTATGGCTCTTCAAAGAAAATATGATGTGAAGAGGTTTCTGCTTCCTTCGACTGGGGCGAGAAGGGGGCGTAAGGCCATCAGATGGTGTTCTCACAGCAGTGAGAATGACCTGGCAGTGAGGCCACTGGCCTGGGCCAAGAGACATGGGCAGATGGGCCCCAGGAGGAGGCATGACCTATGAACTCTGGGGTGCTGACATTTGACTACCGGTTGAATTCTTCCTTTTCTGCTTGTAATTCACTCATATTATTCTCAAGACCCAGAGAAGGAGTTAAATATCACACCCCGTGTTAGCTGTGCGTGGGCCTTAAACGGAGAGCCTTGTGCCCATATTTGGACCAGGGAGAGTTTCCACATGTGATTGACACAGAGGTGATGGGCAGTGCGGTGTGGGAGAGCACCAGGCAAGAAGCAATCACCATAGACCTTGACATAGCACCACCAGGCATCCTTAGAATCTCCTGGGAAAGAGCCTTCTGAACACTCAAATACTGATTATTCTATTGTGACAATATTGTTAGCATAAATATACCATAATGATGCCATTACTGATATAACAATTGTTACTATTGTATGATATTGATCATGTTATTGCATTTTTATTCTATATGATTAATAAAATGCCATTTAGTTAAAACAAAAATTCTTATTATATAGAAATATAGAATTATATTAGAAATAGAAATATCTTATTTCGCTTGCTCAGGATTTCCTTTTTAACAACTTCTGTCTCCCCAACTGCGTCTCAAATAGTTAAAATTGCCAAATTAGTGGCCATTTGGTAAATGAAATGAAACTCTACACGTTCCTTGCTGGTCTCCCCACGATTAAAATCTTTTCATTAATGATAAAATGGGGCTTCTGGGTCTCAGAAATCGTCAGAATAAAACTGAAGAAACCTAACAGGTTGCCAAATTTATTTTGCCAAGTAAGGATATTTTTGAATTACCAAATCCTGACAACATGCAACATTTAATAAAATGCTTTTTAGAATTCCCAAGTTCCTGACCACGTATGGCACTTAAATAAAATAAATTTTAACACCAAAACAGTAGGAAGCAGATATTTCAGAATAAAGGATGATCCTTTGGGCAGAACCATTTTAGCTTTATGAAGATTTTCACCTGGTTCTTATTTTTCTTGCGTCACCACAAGAGAGTCAGCCCTTCCAGCGGACGACACCTGGTTTGGAGCCATTCCTGAACACCAAACCCACTGCATGGGGAGCTGTCTGGGAGCTGCAGGCCTGAGATAATTCCCACACATTTCCCCAAATACGTGGAAGGTGGACCCGAGCAAGAGCTGGGGCCTGTTGCCCCTGTGAGACGTGGGCATGAGGCCTGCCTTCCGTGTTGTAAGACCCAGACTGTCAGCTAACCACACCGAAAAGCTTTCTTCCTGCCCCGTCTTAGGAGCCCTGAAAACTGCCCCTTTTAGGACACAGGACAATTGCCAAGTCGGGCTCATTCCATGGACTGAATTACCATTTTTCCTGGCCCCAGAAATTCTATGTCTGTTGATAATTTTCATTCCTGGGTCACAGCTCCCAGGGGAGTAGGAGAAAGGCCAACTAGGAGAGAGGAATGTTCAGTGTGTTTCCTCAGATCCTGGATCTGCTCCCTGGCTCCATCAACTCTCTGTTGATAGAAGGCTGCCCTGCTCCAGGTTTCCAGAAGCAACTCCCACACCTCAGCAATGGCACAGGTAGCCGAGCTGGGAAGACCTGCCCTGTGCCTGCTTCAGAGACACAGTTCTAAAGCTGATGTGCCCATGAGAAAAAGGAGGCTCTCTTTGCTAGAAAAATAACCAGTGACAGAAGACTTTACTTCAGGAGATGGCTGAGTAAAAGCCTCTTTTACTAAAGCCCGTGACCCCCAAATAACTCGGAGTCACCTCCCCCACCCCACCTACCATTTTTATTTTCCAGCAGTTGGAGGAACTGCAGAGAACCAAAGGGATAAAGGTTGAATTCATTACCAATTCTTCCGGAAGCTCTGTCTTTCTGCTGACCTGAAATAATTTCCATACATTTTCCTAAATATATGGGAGTTAATTGCCAATTTGCATTTTGGTTCGAGTATTCAGGTCTCAAGATGGAAACATAAGCTCTTTATTTCAAGAAAAATAACTGAAGGAAAACTTCTGAAGCTCGTTTTCTAAATGCCCAAAAGGCTCATGGAGAACAGACTCAATAGTCTTTCTTCTCTAGAAGCCTCTTCAGAAACCTCTTGGAGGAGAAGCTCTCCCTCCTCCCAGTTCAGTTTGCTTTATGTGATTGCAATTACATCAGAGAATTTCTTTTCCACCCCCCCGCCCCCCCGCCCTGCCACTCCAAAGTGGTAAGTCTTCAAAGGGTCACAGGATTTGAATTCTGCCTGCTATGCCTCCTTGGAGCCAAACTTGACATCAGCACTTTTTATAAGCAGGAATCTATGAATTAACACCCTGAATTTTCCTGAGGAGTCCCCTTGTTGGGCCTCTGTTTGGGAAAACGCTCCTGGGTCCTTTGACAGTAGCCTGCCCTTAGTATTAATTTAAATGTCTCAGGAACATTATCTGCTTCTACTAAAATAAGTGACGAAGAAGTTCTGGAAAGTGGCTTCGAGCGCCGCCCTAGCAGGCACGGTTAGGGGAAAACTCGGTGCCTGAAACGCTAATTTAGATGCGAGCCTTCATATTGCGTGTTTAGCTCTGACCCTAAAATCTGCTCGCCTCACAGCTTTCCCCATCTGGTGCAATTTGCTTTCTCACTTGTAAAAACACACACGACGGGGACAGCATGCATTGTGGGCCGCGGCGTGACAATGAGGCCCTGTCCGTGACGCGCTTCCCTGAGAGAAACTTGTTTCGCGCCCGTTGTCCCCCAGCTCCCAGCCTTTCCTCACAGGGAGCAGCGGCCGCTCTGCCCAAGCCCCCAGTGTCCCACCCCAACGTCCCTGAGGAGAAAGGAGATGATGGAGCCGTACCTTGTACCCAGGCTTCCGCCCTCTTTTCTTGGGGATCTTCACTGCTGGCAAAGCGCCAGCTGAAGCGGAATAAAGGTTACGAACCGCCATCTTCATAGGTGTTGAGTGAAGTGGGGGTCGGCCTCGCTTTCTCCCTGGGATCCTCTGGGACTGCATGTCTGCCGGTGCCAGTCTTACAGAAGGAAGTGACAAATCGCTCACAGGCAGAAGAGGTGCTAAGATTAGTCCAGACACAAAGCAAAACAAAAACAGAAGGGTTTGTTAGGTTTGCAAGGCAAGCATGTATCCAGTTTGGCGTTTGGAGCCTTACCTACCCTTCACTTGGAGGGGGTGGGGACCAAATACGAGAGAACCAGGCACCTCGAGGAGTTTTTACAGGACTGTTTGGCTTCTGGTTTAATAATTTCCAGGAGAACGAATTTCCACAGAGCTGTGATGAAGTAGGGAGGATAGTAGGGGGGAGAGGACAATAGCTTCCCAGCTCCAGACACAACTGAAAGTGTCACCAGCATGAGACGACTTCATCAGTGTGTGTCTCAAGTTTCCCCAGTCAATTTAACTTTGAAGTAATAGAATAATAGTATTAAATAAATACAACCCGCCTCCCACATTTACTCCTGTCCCTTTGGCTGGGTTGTAAATGGTTGTGACCTTTATGTTTCCTGTGAAAGATATTTAACAATACAAATCAGTTGTATCAGTTCTGTCTCTTGGGGCGCCAGGGTGGCTCAGTCGGTTAAGCGTCCAACTCTTGATTTTGGCATGGGTCATGATCTACTATTTCTAGGGCCGACTAGGTGGCTCAGTCATTAAGTGTCTGCCTTCGGCTCAGGTGGTGATCCCAGGGTCCTGGGATAGAGCCCAACATTGGGCTTCCTGCTCAGTGGGGAGTCTGCTTCTCCCTCTGACCCTCTGCCCTCTCATGCTTTCTCTCTCACTCCTTCTCTCTCTCTCAAGTAAATAAATAAAATCTTTAAAAAAAAAATACTAATAATGAGCTTCTTCAGGTAGAGATACCTAAATTTTGCAGCAAAAGGTAGTCGATCGTCTCCAGCCCAGAGAACACAATGGTATCACGAGCTCAGGGGTCAGATTTCCTTGAACATTCAGGATTGTGACAAGTGGGACTGAACATTAGACTCTAATGTGGGAGGGATGTTAAGTGATAAAATTTATTTCTGAGCCCAAGTGGTAGCCAACAGTGGAAATGAGAAGTTTTGCTCAAAATGCTACAGAAAGAGTTGGGAAAGGTGATAGGAATCATCCCTACCCTCCCTACCCTACCCTAGGCAACACTACAGGAACCACATTGCTTTGCACAAGAAGGAAAATATTGAATAGTGGATACTTGAAATCTGAAAACATGACAGGGAAAATTGGGGGCATCTTTTACAAAAGTTCACTTTGTTAATTCTCTGAATAGTAACAGTATTCTCTCAATAATCTTGATCACTCTTGGAAATATCACACTTCGTATACAGAGTTTTAAAGCATGAATTTATTGTTAAATATTTCAGGTAGATAGACAAGCTGTTGGAGATGTCAATTTTCCCTGTTTTTTATGTAAGAAAAATATCACATATCATTGATTCTAAGATGCATGCTTTATCACTCATTAACATCTCTGAAATCACAATGCGCCGTAAAGTGCTGTAAGCACATAAGAATTCCATAAGGAGCAATTTTTCTTTCTTGTGGTACATGAAACAGTGCTATTATCAAGGGCATCTTACAGTCAATGAATCATGATCAATGAAGATAAGCCCATCAACATGTGAACAGAGCTATCATTCCATTTCTAGACTTGGCGTCAGGACTCCACTACCCCAAACCCTCATTTTCAAAACAAACAAAAAAAAAAAGGGCTTTGCAAAACATCTAAAACCCACGAACACTTATTTGTTACTATTTTTGCTGTGCAGAACTTGATCTGAGATTCTGAACTCTCATGATTACGATCACATCCCTGCTTCTGCAGGTTTAGTATTAGTACTATACTAATACTAATTAGTTGTCATTAGTATTATTAGCTATCTGGGAAATAAGATTTTTTTCTAGTCTAGGGCCTGTTTCTCTAACTTTCTACTTTGCTGCTAGTGAGGTCAGCACCGTATCTAACATGAAGATCAAAAGTCAGTAAGAGAAAACCCAGGACCAGAGTAAGGCATCGAATCTGTTTCTGGCGGGTGAAGGTTTATTTGGTTGCCGTCCTTCCCTGGTGAATTGTGATTCTCTGCTAACCTAGATTCTCCCTCACAAAAGTCTTCTCGTTGAATAGGTTTTGGGGAGTAAAGGAAAGGTAACAAATTAATTAACATATTATCCTAGGAATTTGTATCACTCAAAATTATACTGAACTACCCTAAATTTCTCAGTTCATTAGGAAAAAATATTTCCTAGAAAACTAGTCATCTTTTAAACTGGGCTTTTCTGTTGTTCTGCTTCTTTTTCTCTACTGTGAGGGAGGAACAGGACTGGGGCTACTTTCTACATCACTTCCAGAGAAGTACATCTATCTTAGGGTATAAAGGAAATTTCCCAAAAACTAAATATGATTAATGAATTTCATGCTGGTGGAGCAGCAATGAGCTCTTATTGGTGCATCCGGAGCAGACAGTAATTGGGCGGACGTGAACATAGCTCTTTCATTGATCAAGAAGTTACTATTTTGCCATTCCTTCTCACACATCAATACAATTTTAATACAGAAGTAAGTAACGAGACAGAGACTTTTAAAAACTGAAGAGGTTATTTTAATTATGGGAGAATTCTCTGAAAGTCTCCTTGGAATAATTTTAAATAGTTGGGGGAAAATGCTTACAAAGTGGTATTTTAATAACAGACCCATGCACTTGGGAAATTGTGACAAATTGTGACAATAGTTCAAGGTCCCCAAAAATCTCCCTTTCCTCCCTTTCCAAAACTAAGACACGAACCTCAAAAAAAAGTAATAACAAAGATTAATACTAAAAATAAGGAAGGATACCAGTCTCGGAATACAGTAGAAAGAAGACATGGGATTTTTTTAGGGAGAACATAACCATGGAGATAGACAATGACTGTTTATCACACATTTAATGAAAAGATCAAAACTAATAGAAGAGGAAAATAAGAAGAGGCTGTCTTCTTAGAAGCCTAACCAACCGTGTCTTAAGAGATTCTCTGTGTCTTAAGAAAAGTTCTTTAAGAATGGACAACAGCAACAAATCCTAATGAAAATGATATACTCAAAAGCAAAGGAAAAAAATAAGCACTTCGGCAGAACAAATAGATCATTTATAATGGGGAAAATAATCAAGCTAGCTCTTTATAGCATCTTTAGTCCAAAAATAATGGAGTCACCATAGTGACTATTTTTTTTCCAGTGTTTATAGTTGCCACAATTCCTTCCACCACAGGGCCTTTGCTTGTCCCTCTCCCTCTGCTCCTACCTCCACTCTTTCTCTCTCTCTGTCTCTAAAATAAATAAAATCTTAAAAATAAACTCCTTCAAATTATTAAAATACGAATAAACACTGAAATAGAAAAAATGAACAAAAGACACAGATAATTCAGAGAGAGAGAAAGGAAGCAAGGCGGGGAGGGACGGAAGGGAAATAAATGGTCAATTATCAAAAGAAAAGACTCTAAACTTTACTGGTAACCTCCCCCAAAAGTATACTGATGTATCATTTATCGCTGATCGGATTGCTAAATGTAGTAACCCAATCAATAGTTCAGGTTGGTGAAGGGTGGAAACTGGCTAACCTTTTGGGGGAACAATTGAAAATCACTTAAAAACTTTCACATGCACACTTCCTAATCTGGCTGTATTAGGATAAAGCTGATAAGGCTTTATCCTAAGAAGATAATCTGAGATGAGCACCAAGATACATGACCAAGGATGTTCTTTGCACGTTGTTTGTAATAGTGAAATACTGAAATAATCAAAATGTCTCTCGAAACATTTTAGTTAAGTAAATTGTTTCACATTCATAAAATGGATATTTTATGAATAAGATATTTCACATTCATAAGTTCTAAATTTAAATATGTGTATGTGTATATGTATACATATGCTCCTAGCATATGTAGTATGATTCTATTCCTATCTTCTTTATGTATATGGATATAGATAAATCTGCATGCATTAGGCACAGAAAGAGGTCTTGGAAAGATAATCAAAAGGCTGATTGTAGTTGTCTCTGGGTAGAAAGATATATTGAAAGATGTTTTTGCTGTCTTTGTAACATTCTGCATCGTTTGAATTTTTAAAACCATAGGCAGAAAACACTATAAATAGAAAAATAATGAATGAATAATTCTCATTGTCTGGAAGGTTTTCTGGTGTTTTTGTTGTTGTTGTTGTTTTTCTTTTTGAAATCTGTGCTTCTTTAGATGGACTTTTGTTTTCTTGTTTTCTCATGGTTTTGGTTAATAACAAAGCTGAGCTATAGAACATCAGTGGCCACTGTTTTATTTTTTTTAAGAGTTTATTTATTTATTTGAGAGAGAGTAAGAGAGCACAAGCAAGGGGAACAGAAGAGGGAGAAGGAGAAGCAAACTCCTGGCTGAGCAGGGACCCTGACGTGGGGCTCGATCCCAGAACCCTGAGATCATGACCCAAGCCAAAGGGCAACCACTTAACCGACTGAGCCACCCAGACACATCAGTGGCCGCTGCTTTAACATCCTAACGAATTGTGACCAAAAAAAAAAAAAAAAAAAAAAGGACTTTATCACTGAAAATAATGGAAAAGGTTATTTCAGAGCTAACAAGAATGCTGTAAATAAGGGGCACCTGACCGGCTCATTCGGTAGAACATGCAGCCCTCCATGTCTGGGTTGTGAGTTTGAACCCCTCACTGGGCGTAGAGATTACTTCAAATGTCATAAACAGATAGTAGACAGGGAGAGAGAACCAGCTCTCAAGAGACAAACAGCTCACTGCCTGCCCCCTCCTTGATTCCACCTCCCACCTGCCCCTTCCACTGAGGGACCAGGTGGCAGTCAGGTTACTGCCCCTCCCCCCAATGATTTCCCTCATCTCCAAAGACCTTTAAAGACCTCAAGTGCGGTCCAAATCATCCTTTCCATGGACTCATGAACTGATACAACCAACATGTACATCACTTGAGAACCCTCAAAATCCTGGAGGTGTTATAGGATACCTCTGAATTTCTCTGCTTCCGACTGCAGGCTTCAGCGAATACAGACAGCCTAGTTCAGGTCAGATT